TATATATATATATATATATACGTAGCGTAAGAGAAATAAATCGAACCACCTAAGATCCGATCGGCCGATTCACTTTACATTCACTGCTGGAACATAGGACTTGACCCCGTTTAATCTAATATTGCGATATGAATGTCTGGGCTCGCATACTAGCGTGGTCAGTTGGTTGCACCGAAGAAAAACGAGTAATCTTGAACTAGTCTTATCTTGCTAGTCATTTTTATCCACATCGCTTGTACGTTTAGGTTAGTCCATGTTATTATGAAGAACAATCCTTGTGTCCTCGTGAACGGTTAGCAAGGTTTCCATGATCCGGTAGTAATCGGTCGATGCATCGGTATCGACCAGTTCATGCACAACCTTTATTCGGTGCTCTCATAAACTGCAAAATATTCTGCTCAAATGAGAAAGCTCTTGGTGAAGTACTCTGATCATCAACGTGGTTCTTCTCCTGGACACGAGGACCCTTTTGACGCTCTTACCCGGCGATTTCAATTTCCTCATGCATCACAAATATGTAATTATGAGACTCACTTCACCACAACTCTTCAAAGATTGCCCTCTCTCTTATCATGAACCTAATGGGTATGAATGCCATTACATCCACTTTCCGAACATTTCGTTCGGTAAGGATCACGATGCTCCTGGCCTCCCCCTTCATAGATGAGGCTGAGGAACTGTTCTCTTGAGCCTGATTTTTTGAAACTTTTTGAAACTGGCTTTTTTTGAAAAAACTGACCACTTTATAGGGTCGCCTGATTGACTTGGTGAGAAAGAAGTCAACCAATTTGCGACGGGTCACCTACCTTGTCTTTGACGAAGCGGATAAAATGTTCAATTTGGGATTTGGTGAGTCTATTTTTCCTACCTTGTATGCTTTGCTGAACAATCTGATCCCTAATTTTCACTCTGTCAATGCATTTGCATCCAAGTAATTAGACAACGGGTACGACAGCCGTCTGTATTTTCAAGTGCTCTTCTAGGGGCGTGACGAAACGTATTTTGAACCGAAATGAATGTGCCCTATATCAAATACCTATAATCTATAGTAGAGAATTCTTCCGACACATCGACGTGATAACGGCCCTGTTTTATCGTCTACGCCATTCTAAACCAGCGTTATTTGAACGCGAATTCCGAAATGAACGAAAGATCAATCGTAATGTCATGGCGAAAACCGTTGTGAGTACTCTGAACACTATAAATGGTGTTTCATCTTACTCTTCAGTAAAGCCCATCTCTCGATACGGCATGCACTGACTTTCGAAAGGAGTTAGCTCTTTCTGGAAAGTCCTTCTCCTCATGTTCCTCATTATCATCGTTTACAGCAATGCACCAGTTATATTAACTACCATACAACCGTGCTGGGAGAAAGCCCAGGTAAAGAGTTCGAAGAAAATGGAAGGGTGAGGACTCAGTGCGGCGAAGCTCTATGCTCTCAAGAATAAGCGACAGAGAGTAAGGTGTTTAGGTCTGTGGGTAGCGTTAAAATAAACAGACTTGAGCATTGCGTCGAAGTGAGGTGCGATTGACCCAGCGTCCCTTGCAGACATCATCCGACACAGCTACAGCGCAAAACGACATGTGAACTGTAGCTATGCAGTCTGGCTAACATGCGCGCCACTGGGACCGGTGGTGTATCATGTTCCGCAAGGCTTTTAACCACCAGGAACCAGGATCACATGGGCCCACAGCAATTAGTTTGGCAGCAATCGCTTTCATTTCACGCTGTTATGCCCCCCCACGACCATTGCGCCAACAACTGCTTTACGGTAGACGGTGGCGTTACCACATGACCCAAACACCTCAACCTGTAAGTTTAATCTACTGCTCTAACGAATGGATTCCTTGACAAGTACCCGCTTATGCACCACTTGGTTGCATATTCGCTTCATCCAGGCAACTCTTGCTATGCTAGGGAGACACCGGGATCAAACACTTGAATACGCTTAAAGTTGTCTGATTGTGGGGAACCATAGAGCAAAACCGCTCTCGCAGTTACTTTGTTTACCCGGCCATTTAGCTTCAGTGAAGTACGGTTATAGCAACATAAATGACGCAAGTTGGCGAACGCCGTCTTCCCCATGATTACGCGTGCATTGGCTTCATCTGTTACAAGCTTGTGTTGCTGCCGAGATGCGTGAATCGAAAAACAAATTCTGAAGTTTGAGGGACACCCAAAGGAATGGAAGTTTTTACGCTTCGGAGCTGCAAACGCATGCCGGAACGTGGGATCACCTTCCATACTCTGGTTCGAGTATTTTGCTCGAACGACTAATCGTCAACCAACAGAACGCTATCATCCGCATGATGCAACTCGACTAATCACTCTCCAACCATGATTTCGATGCCTAAATTTATGATTCCTTGGAGTGTGCACTCTACACCAACGCCCGACAACAAATTCATCACCATCAGATTCAGCAACATCAATGTTGATACCGATGCTTTGCTACCATACAACCACAGAGTTTATCAAATTGTGTTTAAAATCTTAGGGCTAAAAGAGAACAGGGTAGATGAGGTGGGGGACCCGGGGCTCGCCTGTCGCAAACATCCTGAATCTACATATCCAAGCACTTAATCAGACAATCTGAAAAGAAACTGACAACACGAAAGCCAATGGCATCGATCAGCACCATTTCTTGAATTGTCTTCAGCCAAGTTCAGGAGGGCTTACTGGGACCCCATCATTGGGGGCGTACAACACCCGAACTCTTCGTGATATCTTTAACTTCCTTTTGCTAAGTCATACGCTGCCCGCTTCGTGGTTTGCAACGTTCTCAAGGACGCAGCGAGAAAAACACTCGTCTTGGTAAACGATGTTTCGGCACCTATCACGAGTCACTGAAGCTGATGGTGCTGGATGTTTTTTTGCGACTGAAGTACCTGCTGCACAACCAAATACTCGTCTTCTAATTATCTCGGTTCAGAGGTAGGGTCGTAGTGTTCTGTAAAATGATAGTGGGAGAGCAATAGGGTGTTCCATCCAGCGACCAGCATGTCTACATTCATGGAAGCAGCGGTGGTGCCGTCCCGCAAGCAAAGACGGATTAGAAAACGTTGACTTTAAAGTACCACACACTCAGATCGCCCAATGCTGCAACACAGATACGAAACAGGGCTTGGTTTGACTCCGTACATGTGTTTCGAAATGGTCTGAAGCTTTTATCACAAAATCATTTACAGCTATTTGTTATGTATTGAATCTGGGTACTCGAGTAGATATATTTGAGTGTTCATGTAACGAGATGCTTGCGTTTGTGCTTGCCATAAACAGATGAGGATCAGCAAACACTTGTACGAAGCGGTCGCCGTGTTTACCGTTTTGGAAGGAACCACGCCAAATCTCCATGGAAGCAAGTGTCACGGTTGCTGACTCCTCGAACTGGGCAGCCAAGCCGCCAGCCAGAATAATGATATCTGTGCATCCATCCGTAGGATTTCCGAAAGTTCTCCATATAAAGTATCTTTGGTAGTGTTACTGCTTTTCCAGAGTTGGGTCGCTCTAATGAACCGAACACCACATCGGTCGGAAGGTATGTCCGAAGCCAGCTACGGACCAAATCAAGGCATGCTTATACTGGTCAGATTATGGGTCATTCGGAATCGAGCAATTTTATCTCGACGCCTCTCGCTTCACCGCGAAGATCTTGTCTCGGTCTTGTGGAATATTCTGTAATTTACAGATGCAACTGTACCGATATTTCACGGTCTCCGTTAGGGGCTATCTCCTTAGCTTCTCTCTTAACATACCGTAGTGGGTGAAACAGCAAACGAAGAACCGACAAATGGGGGTGCAATGCTATCTGCAGTACGCAACACTGCGTCTGGTTTTTGAGACATACAGAGAAAAGATTTCGGGTTTCGGATCGTTGGTTTAAAATTTTGACGGACTCCACCAATCTGACTGCACGCAGCTGATTGTTCACAGGCCTCCAGCCAAGCAAAACCCGTGTACCCACACCAGTGTGGCTACGGACACCACTTCTAGATCACCCGACAGCCGGAGGGTAAATCATGAGTAAAGTGAGCGGCTTTCGGTCGTTTTCAACTGCATTGCCATATTTGAATCTTGTACTCGTCTTTCGGAGTTAGCACATCGACTTTTGAGGAGGTTATGAGCATATGAGCCGCAGACGATAGACTTGTATCGGAGACGGATTAAGCGCTGGCGAATTTCTCCGTAGGGCAAGACAGATCCATCAAACAGAACTGACACGTCCCCATGACGCAGTATGTTCAATTCCAAAGTGGAAAGTAACATAGTAAGGGCTGAACTGTCTAACGCACTTATGGGTGAATGTGTGTAGCTTATATGTTGGTATGTTAATTTACTTCTGATAACGATAAACAATGCAATAGTTGCATGGACGTACCCCCTGAACCCATGCGTAATAACTTGCTGCGTGAAAACTAGTTCGTTGAGAAGTACTTATGTCTCTGATTTGTTGCACTGAGATATATTTTCGTCAAAGGACGGCTAACCCATTCTCCCTGCATAATAACTGTTTTCATTGCCTTCGGATGTTTTTCAGAACCGCAAGTACGATCGATAGCCAACCACGTCCGGCCTGATCGACAAAGTAAGTTGTCTATCAACGCGTCCCAGATTAACCGTTTTACTGATTTCACCTACCGCAAAACCTCCATTTTTTTAATTCCTTCCTTTTAGCTCTGCTGTTCAGTGCAACTTTCAAGCGACGCCTTGAGCGACTGGCTCGCGATATCCTGACCGATCCTGTGCGTATTGTGGAGGGTCACTTGGGAGAGGTTAGTGGTTACTGAATTTTGTCGTATTGCGAAAGACTGGCTGGAAAGATTATGAAACGCTACGTTTCCCGACCGCCTGATTTCTAGACCTTATGACTTTTACATAGTGGGCTTGTGGCGTGTTCCCTCTAGCCACCCAATGTCCAGAATGCAACGAGCCCGTGTATGAGACCGAGTTCATCATAAGCATTTCAATACCCACTAGCTCCGTCTTTTCTGCTCACCCTCTCTCTCTCTCTGGCTCATCCATTGTTGTGACAACTCTTCCGATAAATAATCTCGGCAGACATACGTTCTGCCCTATAGTGGGGAGGTTTCCCACTTTAACGAACGTCATCATCACCATCGACAGCATGACATCAGTATTCAGCCGTAACAAAGATGCCATGTGGCTACATACACACCGGGCGTAGTTTAGGACCAAAAAGTAAACTGTTTCCCATTACATATAAAGTGCTTGGCGGGAGCTTAATCGCTATACTTTACTGGATATTTCTTGTTCATGACATTCCGGTGTAAGCTTTGTTATCAATCTTAAACGCTGTATTGACAAGCGAGGCGACCACGAAGAGATGGGTCTGTCAGCCATTACTGAGTGTGGCATCCTGTGAACCGTGTAAATTGTCAGACAGGAAGGTCAATCGCTTTCTAACACTATTTCGAAACATGCTTTCCCACTTGCTCATATTGATGCACTTTCCTGTTTCAGGCCAACGAAGATATCACGCAAATCGTGGAGATCTTTGACAAACCGGACGAAAAATGGGACTGGTTAACAAGAAACCTAGTTCGTCTCACCACCGGTAAGACACGTATTATTGCGACTTCAGATTTCAAGGGGTACGTTAATCGACTCATATGTCAGCGTGAGTATAGCTTGGTTTGCTCCGTTATTTATTTCGGCTCCAAGCAATATGAAGCCCAATTTACCCACTATAAAATCTGGTTGGTCTAATTTTCCGTTAATGGCGTCGACCACCATCATCACCAGCGACAGCATAACATTAGTACACATCAGTACATCAACACTGATGTTTCGCTGCCGTACAGCTATGGTTTATTTGAAAGTCTTAGTGCGGAGAAAAGAACAAAAATGAGCGCGGAAGGTATCTAGTGCTAACCTACCACAATTATTCCGAAGTGCCCGCATTTCCAGACACTCATTCAGGAATTCTGGATAGAAACTGACAACAAAAACGCCATTGATATTGATTAGCAGCCATATCTTGCGGCATCTCGAACCAAGCACAGTGGGAGTAAAGAGGTCCCCATCCTGGAAAGCGAGTCGCACCAACAGCACACAGACTTCTCGTAATCTCTTTGATACTCCTCTGCTACGTCAAGGGTTGGCCACCGCTCTACCTCCGCCAATCTGAATTGGATATGGAAAACAGCACTCTCTTTGACCAACGATGGTTCGAAATACTCAATACATGGCCCAACAAATGCAACTTTTGGTGCTTGACACATTCTTCGACTGACATCTCTGATGCACAACCGAACACTGGCTTCCTAATTGCTTCGCTACAGACTCGCCAACACCAGCCCATACGAGCTATGCCTCTGATAGAATGGTTGTCAAACAACCGAAGCCATCTCAGTTTTTCTGATCTAACAAGCCGTTTCACAACGATATAGCAAAACCCGTAGCCGGATACACACATTCCTTGAGATAACGAGTATACCAGTTTAACGCTCTAGGTCTCCCAACTTGGCAAACGCCACTGCAGATTCTTGAAATTGGAAATAATACGAATTGCAAGATACGCAAAACGCCCCACAACGTCAACTTCCTATCTCTGGATTGTAAGTTTATTCAGTGGCTGCATGTCCACGAGCATGACCTTATATTTTGTAGGTGCAAAGGACGGGACTGGTCAGTTCATCCAAAAACATCTTCTCTTTGAAGACGAGAACGATGTTGTTTGCATATTCCAGATCGACAAGGTTTTAAACAGCAGTTTTTTTGACACCAGGGTTTTGAGGGATTTCCAGCGGTCTTTTCATCACTTCATCGATCACGAAATGGAACCGGAATGGAGAGAGCAGACATTTATGATAAACATCACCCTGTGTACGGAAGATTTTGGAGGGCTCTCCGCATGTCCTCATGCGCCCAGAAGTGAGAATACACAGAACTCATCATGTTTGCGAACTTCAGGGGCATTCCTTGCTGGGCAGAGATCATATCGGTCAACAGAATCAAATGCGTCTTGGAAATCCAGGAATACTAAAATCGTGACTCGTATGACATTGTTCTAGCATCTGATGAAGTATGAAAATTTGGCCAACAAAACCCCTATGTGGCCTGAATCCAGCGTGTTGCTCTCGAGTCAGTATTTCACGAGCCACCATAGGGTGACGAGGGACAAGTAATGTCAAGTGTCTTCTTACGACCAGGGTCATGCTAATCAGCCTTTGGTAACCAACTCACACGAGCGCCCTTTTTAAAAACGAGCACTGTCACCCATTCTCCCCAATTGTCTGAGACAGTCGGTTCTTCCTAAATGCATGTAAACAGACCCGACATGCGCCAACTAAGGACAATGCGGGTTGAAGGTCATGTGCACAAGGAGCCGTGTGGTGCTTGAGAGAACGTGTGTAGACGTGAACCTCCGAGGCAGTAGTGGGTTCAAAGTTTGCCGTTCAGGTTTCTACTTCACCTGTAGAATCCAAAATAAAGTGACAGCAGGCGGTCACGAAATCGTTCGAATTAACCGGTCCGGCGGTTGAGGCATTTTCCTTTATTCAAGATGGCCGCACCACCGTGATCCTTGGTGGTCTAGCTCGCAGTTTCTGGAGATCAGTCACACGTACCGACCAAAATAATCTCCGACTCCCATTTTTATGAGCCCTTTCCGTTTCCCCTCACACGGTGCACACGTTCACTTGACGTCTGATAACTCGTCGGGCCAAAGTTCGTGACACCTAGGGACAATTATCCAAGATTCATGAAGTGTTATTGTTCTGTTTGATATCCAGTGCTTCAGCGAGCCTGGTAGCGTCGTGCCATTGGCAAAACACCCATCACTGTGCAAACATGTAGCGATCCAGTTCCAGCGTGATTCCACATCTGATGTCGGTGCAGTTGGAAGAAGCTCCAAAAGATGATTGATAAATTCGTCCAACTTCCGAATCTGCCACTCTGTCAGTCGCTAAGCCATGTGTCCGTACCTTACGTGGTCCTGGAAAACGAAGGGAGAAATGACTTCGGACGAGCGCATTATCGGAATTCTCACCCGTTCCAAAACGACCGGCAGTCAGGTATTGATCCGCACCACGAGTAACTGATGGTGATATGATCAATTTGGGTTCGTATCTGGCACGCCGTTGTATGATGCCATGTGTCCGGACAACTTCGCCTATTTCGGGCGTTAACACTGCATAAAAACAGCCAGCGGTCAGCACACAGCTGAAGCAATCGTTCGCCATTATTCGTACATACCGAACCCAATCCATGTCGACGAACTAATTGAATCTCAGATGCGCTAAATCTGCCCAACTGTGCCTTCAGATTTCTGGCAACCACAACGATATCTGAGAATGACATTATTTTTAGTGTGTGTTAGGCAGGAATCCACACGAATCCCGCATCAGCTCCGAAAACATTGCAGCAACAACAAAAGCAGTTTGAAGTAGCGCACCTAAAGCTCATTGAATCACTGACTCAGAAACTGCATATCCATAAAGCAGCAGTCAGTACTGGTGAGTCTTCTGTTTCCTCAACTGATGCAGCCGCGGCCTCAATTACGGAGATCATATTCGACCCTCTTTCTGGTCACACTTTTGACTCCTGGTTCAAGCGGTACGAAAACATGTTCAAGACTGATTTCTCCAAATTTGATGATGGATGGAAAGTCAGACTACTGCTGCGAAAACCCGGCACACCGGAGCATGAACGGTTCACAAATTTCATTCTCCCCAAGCTGCCCCGCGACTTCAGCTTTGATGAGACGGTCAGAACACTGTTACAGATATTCAGCGATCAAACATCACTGTTCAGTATCCGCTACCAATGCCTTAAGTTGGCCAAGAAAGATGATGATGATTTCATCACGTTTGCCGGTGTTGTCAATCGAGAATGCGAGCGCTTCAAGCTCAGCTCAATGACGGAGAATCAGTTTAAGTGCCTCATTTTTGTATCCGGTCTCCAGTCATCCCATGATGCTGACATCAGAACCCGGCTTCTTAACAGAATTGAACAGGATGCCGAAATGACGTTGCAGAGCCTCACCACTGAATGCCAACGCCTCATCAACCTGAAGCACGACACGGCTATGATCGGTCAGTCACCTGTGACCTCAAGCAGCTGTGTACAGGCAATCAACTA